TCGCTATGAGTTGGAAACGACTCGACAGCACATAACAACAACAACAACAACAACATAAGGGAAACTATTTGTCTTACTTTACATTGAAAGTATTATTTTAGATAAATGTTGAATATTGGTTCATTTTTGTTATTCATGGATCTAGTCTCTGAATTTATTAAAATATGTGAAATTCTACTGATATGGTATGGTTGTTGTTGTTAAGTGCCATCCAGTCATAGGCGACTCATAGTGACCCTGTGAATGAAAGTCCTCAACACTTGTGTGACTTTCATCCTTTCTCCAGGTTCATAGGGTTTCCAGAGGCAAGCTGTTTTGGAAGTGAATGCAGCTTATGCTTCCAAGCTTGTTTTAATCAGGGAGCTCCACCAAACACTGTCCACCATGGGTAACCATTAGCACATTTGACACATCAGTGTCACAGTGTTTAGCTTCACAGCAACCAAAAGTTACCTCTGTATGGCAAGTGGAAACACCAGGGCCACCCAAGTAGTAAATATTCAGTGCCACCCAGCCTCTATGGTATTGTTAGCTGAATTTTTTTCCATTTATTTAACCAAATCGAGCCACAGTATTATTTGGATTGGAACCAGACTCATCTATGCAAAATTTTGAAACATTCAATCTTGTCCATGCATGGGGAATTAAGAAATGAAACGATATGTTGTTCTCTGTGCCATTTTCAGTTTCCTGTCAGTTTGTAAGTTCAGTGGGAAGCTTGAGCTAAAAGAAAATCATATTCTGGTGTGGGTAGCAGCAGAGATACCTACCGTAGGTAAACTTGTAAACATGGGACTCTTCAAAATCAGGTGGTGTGTTTCACATTAGGCTTTAACTAGGTTTGTTATACCAAGTTAGAGTGTTTGGAAAGTGGCACCACTGTATGGTGCCAATGGGGAATTATGCACTGGATTAGTAACTTAAAGTTTATAAGTTCTAATCCATGCAGTGGGCCTTGGAAACAAGAAACAAGAGTCATGAAGACTTGACGGAGCCCAGTCCTACTCAAGTCCGCACAGGTCACCATGTGTTGGCTCCAGGGAAAATGTTTGGCTTTATTATTGTGTCTCATGTGTGTCTTTGTTGTTTAGATCAAGTGTTTTCCAGAAAAGAGGACAAGCCTCTAGGTAGTCCTTTGGACCTCAAGCTGGGGGGCGGAGTGGGCTCAGAGTCAAATTACAGACTTCCTCTTGCCCATTCTCCCTA